AGGGTTCGAATTTTTAAGAAAAGGCCTGTTTTTAGTAAGTATTCAAATGTCAGACGTTTTAAAATCCTTTCAAATTCAAGATAATTTTTTCGATAAGTCAATGAATTAAATAAAATAAATGTAGTAGTCTCTTTTTTTTTAAAGAAAAAATGTGTCAAATTTTTCAAAAAACTCCAAATTTTAATTATTAAGATAGATCAATTTTTATCAAATATGCACAACGTGTCTCAGATTTAAGACTTACATAACACTTCACATATCTCATCAGATTGCTGTAATTGTAATTACTGACTTGAAAATGGCCCGATTTTAGTTTTGAATTTATCAAAGTACTCATCATAAAACTACCTCGAATTTCGTTTTGAATTTTCGGGGGAAAAATTCATTATACTTCTGGTTTTTCCAGCAATTAAACCTTGCGTAAAATTTGAGCCACGTCGAAGCGGTTTCAATACGAGGTTGTGCTTAGAACAACGGCGCTTATTCGCCAAGTCAATTAAATAGGTGAAATTCCCCCCCAAGACTGAGCATCGAAATGTCTCTGCCTTTCCTGTGTATCCGCGTGTTGCCATAGCTTTAGCGCACCACACCCTTAGCAACGAAGCTATGAGTATGCTGTGCATGCATAAATTACCTTGCTTAATGTGCACAGAATGTAAGGCAGTTTCTTATAAGCTAGAATTTATCAGAATAAATGCGATTTGCTTTTTCTTTTGTATATTTTAAGGTCAATTTTTTCCCTTTTTAAAGGCTTGCCATCATCAGTCGTATTGAGGCGTGTTTTTTTCCATTTTACTTTCGATACGTTCAGTTCAAGTGAAAATATTTGATGGGCATTATGTGAAAAGGGCTTTATTATTTTAGCTCTATTTTTAGATAGGTCGTGTGAGACGCACGCTAACGTATACGAGAAAGAGTCGGTTTCGTTCTAAATATGGAATGGAACACTGTGACGCAATGGCTCGATGTACACAAGAAATTTCCCAGTCTGCATATAAATGAAGTGTGTAAAAGGGACCTGGCATTATAATCAAAAGTTTAATATTTAATTTGTTAAGAGTTGCCTTGGGTACGAATCTTCTACGCTACAATTATTGCAAAATGAAAGCCTTAAACGTAGTTATAGACCTACCAGCTAGTATACCCGTTCTTCGGACGGGTGAATTGAAAAATTAAACAATACAGATTGAAGGATAAAGAAGTTTTTAATGAGTTAATTTTACGTGAATTGCAAATTAAACAAAACGAAAAAAAGCTTTTTGCATATCTCAGCTGAACAACAACAACAAAAAAAATGTTTGTTAAATTTTAAGTCTGTAGATCTAATAGCTTATTAAAAGGATAGCTTATAAATAGATTTTTTTTATTTATAACTCCTCGCGCGTATTGTATTTATGGTTCACTATTCTGGTGATAATGGTTCCTTACATTTTAATGGCGACTTGATGACCATTTTGTCGAGTTCGCGACCCTATGGATTCTTCTAGAAATTAGTGGAGAAATATACTAATATCACGGTCTATGACGCTAGCGGATTTTTCAAGAAAATTCTGTGAGGCCTAAAAATAGGGAGTAGCTCGCCGAAACTGAGTTAGTCGTGTTTTGACCGCGTTGCAGAGTAGTATTGATTTGACCGTGAGAATCGACCCGTGATTAGTTATTACCTCGGTTGTTGAGTAGGATGAGCGCGAGTGCTTGAGAATAATATCTAAAATACTTTTATTTTAGACTCTGATAGTTGTTTCTGGGCGCCGAAGAGGTTGTCAGAAGCATTCTGTAGTAAGAGATCCTAAGAGGTAATCCCAGAATGCCTTCTGAGATTTGCTCAGCGAATTTGGGAGTATTGTATTCCGTATTTCAAGGATTTTTCGGCAATAAATTTCCATCACTCCTGAAGCCTCGTTCTTTGAGACTGATTGCATAAAATCCTCCAGCCCCGATCTACGTAACACTATAATATGCGGTGCAATGCCAATGTTTGTTTTCCCATTCTCAGCTAATATAATCTAATAATTAAAATATGTTTTACTTTTTAATTTTTAAAATTTTTTTTCAAAAAGAGCGAATAATGAAAAGTGTTAATGTGATAACAATATGATAGATGAAATGCTTAAAAATGTTTGATATAAGAAAATTAAGAGGAAAAGAAAGATTTTTTTGTATATAAAAGAGCAAACTAAAGAAAGCGAATTCCTTCGAGTTTCGCAGACTTTATCCCTTACATAATTCAGTTTGACCGGTCATTTCATTCATGGCCCCCAAAAGTTCTTTCCCATATTAGTTTCATTTGTAAAAACGAAAAACGAAATAAGTATTCTGAAACAAGCTCCTGTGATTGTATGAATAAGTCAGCAATTTTAAAGTTGTGTGTCACAAAATATGCAAGAGTGTCACAATATATTCGAGTGTCAAAAAATATTTGAGTGCATTTTTCTCCGCAATGACACTGACATTATTAAGACAAAAATAAAATGCGTTATTGGAGTAGATGGGAAATAATTTATCGGGGATATTTCACTCAAACAACCCTCTCAAAAGTATAAACATTTAATAACTTTTAGTATCATCAAAACTGGACTTTTTATCATTATTAGATAAATAAGACTGATGGTGATGTAATATCACATTATTATACATTTTGAATTTCAGTTCCTTGAAACTTGTTTTTATACAATATATAGATAGATTCTCAATAATCGTGAAAAGTACAAAAAATAAAAAAGTACCCAATGGAATCATCTTAGATCGACTGCGTTCAATCACGCAACCCCATCTGCTGTTGTTACCCATCCCATTGGATCAGGAAAGCCAGTCCAAAAGCCCCAGCCTCCAAAGAGTCACAGACATCCTCCTACTTCACCCCGACAGCTGTCTCAAGGAGTTACCAATACATTCTTAAAGGTGAACAGGAGAGGCAGGAAAAGTCTTCACCCCCTTCAGTTAATTTCTACGGATTCAATTCCTCACTGTATGGACCATGAAAAGCATTGGACAACTACATTTACATTACTCATTGCACATTAACAGCTCATTGTAAATGTCAGTTTAAAAACTTATAGAACAAGATTATTTTTTTTTAAGGATCTCAATGATTATATAAAACGCTTTTTAATACATCAATCGAACATTTCAGGTTAAGCTAGAAAAAAAAGATAAATTTAACAATATACTGGTGTTTTGTGCCAATTATCATTTATTTTCTTATACACTTTTCAAATTTCATGAAAAAAAAAATACTTCTAAAATAATTAACGAAGATGGGTGAGTCACAGTGAGTGAATATCAACGTCGCACACACTGTGTTCAGCTACACGAGAGCTTTTGGCGACGGACCTCGTCATTTTGAACTATGGACAAGTGACAAGGACGACACCTGAGCTAGCATCTTTCTCACTCCTAACTACCACACCACACCAACGGCAGGACGTTAAAATACTGGACAGATTTAACGTGCATCGTTTCCCTACACGGTGGGTCTTTAGTGGTACTGGCCTCGAACTCATGACATGCCAGCCACGATCCGTTACCTTGACCACTAGGCTACCGTGGCTTCCGACTTGACAAATGTGTGGCATTTCGAATAAATCGGACCTTTTATATATAAAATGGGTAAAAATCGAGTTAAACATTCCGTTACATATAGAGGTGAAGCTAATAAAAGTATGTTAAAAAGGATTCTAACGCGTGTCTCACTGACCGCTATCTCGATGTGAAGAAAACTCGAACTATCATGGTCAGGGAAATGATAATAGCTGCTTTCTTAAGCTTCATTTTCCCATCCCCAGTCTTCATTTCTGTAATGAAAACTATTTAATCCTCAGCTAGCTCTCTATTTAGCTCTCGAATAAGATCTAAACCTAAGATAAATAAAGTTAAGAAACCGAAAGTTGTGAAGTATTTTTTTAAAAGCATTCGCTTTCTCATATCCCATTTTTAAAAACATTTGTTACCTATATTTAAAAAAAAACATTTTGAAAAATCTGATTTATTTGATATATTTATATTTGTTTCCCACACATGTAATTTTTATCTCAGTCTATTTTCTGTAAGTCTAATTTTTGAAAAAAATTATCGTTTAAAAATTTTTAAAACGTGTGATAACTCAAATAATTTTTCACATATTTATATGAAATTCTGCAGAAATGTTTTTCACACTCTTCTTGAGTGCCTGAACTAGGAATTTTGAAATATGTAATTTAGAACAGGATTAATTCATAATTTAATAAATTTGAGCTGAGAAATTTTGATAGAAAACACCGTTTATTATTTTGATAGATAGTCACTATAAAAATAGTATAAATTCGTCAAAAATCCTATTTCTGGCTCTGTATAGTCGTAGTTATATGTAGCAAAATATTATGATAATAAAAGCATTTTCCATACAAGGATAATTATTTGAATGTATGTCATTCAATTCCTACTATTAGTTCACTCTCTCCCTATACATATTTATTTATCTCTCTCTATATATATATTGTACAAATTTTCAATCGTTAATAAAATGCTTTTTATTCTTTCACTCAACTTCAAATACATTTTTTAAAACTTGTAATAGATGACACTCTTGATGTTATAATACAGTTTTTCTCAAATTTTAATTCATTAATTAAGTAAAAAAAAACAGTCCAACAGCATATATGTGGCTGCGGTAGCCGAGTGGTATAGGTATCGGATCGTGGTTTGACTTGTCACGAGTTCGAGCCCAGTATCACGAAAGACCCGCCGTGTAGGGCAGTGATGCACGTTAAATCTGTAGAGAGCTGAAACGTCCTCCCGTTGGTGTGGTGTGGTAGTTAGGAGAGGGAGGGGGGCAGCTCAGGTGTCGTCCACGTCACTTGACCATGGTTCAAAATTACATGGTCCGTCACCAAAAGCCCTCGTGTAGTTGAACAGTGCGACGTTAATATTCAATCAATCAACCAACAGCATATATAGAAAGGAAATCTAGCCACTTGATTGTACTAGCACATTTTGTTGTCCCTGGGAAAATTGTTCATTGTGTCCCTGTAGCGCAATGGATAGCGCGTTGGGCTTCTGATCCAAAGTTCGTGGGTTCGAATCCCACCTGGGATAGCCTAGTTTCTGAGAATGTGATTTATGAATGAATAAATAGTAACAAACAAAAATAATAGTCCAGCACCATATACAGAAAGAGAAATCTCTTTGTATTTTGTCACTTAATGTCGTGATTCTGTCATATGTATTTACATATTTATATTAATTGTAATTATTTAATAGAGAAAGTTTCTCTAAAATAAATTTTTTCTTTTTTTGGCCTAAGTAGGAATTGACTTAATTTTTTTTTAATATTACTTGTTCAAAATCATGCCTTCGAACGTAGTCAGATACCTTAAGAGAATTTGTATATTTTATCGATAAATATATGTAAACACATTGTATTTAAAACGTTTTTCATTTAATTAAAATTAAAATTTAGTGTGCATCAAAAATGGTCCCAATTATAGGTCTCAATGATTTGTTCACTCTCTGATTCGAAACACACACTTTAGTTCACTATCAAAAATAAATAATTTTCTCCATTCTTGTATTATGAAATTCGTTCGCTATTGCCATAGTTATAACATCATCCATACAACTTAAGTTACTGAAGCACCCAAACCACACCGCAAGAGAAACTAAAAAAAAAAGTCAAGGAAATTAGTGAGAGATTTTTCGAGGTTTCCAAGGTATCCAACACAACTGTATACCTTCAACTAGATGACCAGCCAACATCAATTTAATTTCAGGTGCTGCTACTTTTAGGTGGAGGCTCGTTATACATATACTAAAATTGGATAGCTCGTTTGAGGGGGGGAAGGAAAAAAAAGAACTGGTCAGATAGAAGGTTTTCCTTGTGTTTTGTTGCCATGGCGACCTACCAGGGCGTAACCCCGAGTTCAGTTCCGTTGCCAACGCAAGCCCCGTTCCGGTCTAAATGTTCCAGCCACTGAAAAAAAAAGGGAAAATTAAAACTTAGCGCGTGGATTAATCGGTAAGCCCACAGGCCTTCTTTTTGTTTATCATTTGGGATAGCCCGTCTTAGTTCGGACGGGTCGCTACTGGACAATCGCCAGTCACGGAATGAGACGTTTTTCTTAGTTTAATGGCGAATCTCCGTTTTTTCCTTGAATGGTCAGTGTGCTGATCGGTGAGGTGCACGAACGCTGGGGTGTTCGTGAGATGGTCAAGACGTGACGGGACTACAGAAGCCGATGCAGGAGGGGGAAGGTACCGATTGGAATTCCCTGGTTGATCATGTGTGGAATAGTGAAAACGATTGTTAGGTTAATTGGTTAGGGTGATTTGCGTATAGTCTTAATACTTAGAATGAGAATTTTGTTGGTAATTTGTGCAGTTTGAAGAACGATGTATTGAAATTCCGAAAAACTAATTTGGAAAGAAACGGAAGGCAAAGGAGATAGTTGCACAAATCTGTGCATTCCTATTTAAAGTAATCTCGTTTTAGGGAAAGATGCACACGACTTAAATTAGTTTAATTTAATCAATGTATGAAACTTAACTTTTTTTCAGTAATACATGAACCTATTATACTTAAAAGTGCATTACTCAACTATATGTAAATTTAGCCCATAGGTTCTCAAAGTGGACGTTTGAGGCTTTCAGGGGGGGGGGGGTATTTAACAAATATAGTTTAAAAAAGATTTAAAAAAAAAAAACACGCTGGTTATATGTACTAACAAAAGTAAACTTTAATCCTGGTTATCGTATGTTTTGATTGTGTGTATGTATTCAAAAAAAAAAATTGTATATTCATGGCAATAGTCACATTTCAGATTTGCAAGTAAAAAAAAAAATTGGGGGCTGTAGAAAAAAAACTAAATTAAAAAATTTATATTCTATTAGCAATATAATATTTTAAAAAATTTAATTCCCGTTTTCACCCTGTATTACGAACGCTCTTATTCCTCTGGAGTAGGAGGGAGCGGTATCGAAATATTCACTAGAAAAGGGGGCGCCAGTTCAAAAAAGGTCGGGAACCTATGATTTAGCATACTTTGGATTCATCTTTAAGTTTCGTTCAGCAAATTTTTTTCCGGGGTTGGGGAGAGGATAAAATATAGTGACTCATTGTATAAGTTTGTGAGGTTGCGATAGCTTAGTGGTCAGGGTCATGGACTCGGGGCGTCGTGTCATGTCGAAATTATTATGGCTTGCTGGATTTTTGGTGTTAGAACAATTTATTCAATGGTGCAGCTCTTAAAATCCTATTTGGCAGTCATTTTGAATGAGTGAAATAATGATAATCCCACTGATTTCATGTAGACTGTGAGAGGTTCTCACCTCTGATAGATAAGTGAGAGGTAGGGAAGAAACACTCGACATGATCCAATCAATCTCGTATTTATAGATCACACAAAATAACAACACAAATTCAATTAATAACAGAAAGAGAATGTCTCGGGGCTAACCGCGAAAGTGCAATAACGACGAAATACACGAATGAGACAAAATCAAACTCGATCCTTACTTTGTATAGGATCTAATCCACTATCCGATTTAATCTAATGCTAATTTAACTGCAGCGATCAATCGTCACTTCCCCTAATAAATATTTAATCACAATAATTCAATAAGGATGCCTGTCAGTAAAACAATCTCACCTGACTTCTGGTTTACATCCACTCCTATTCTTTGCTAGCAAGAAAATCTCGATTATATATAGTAAATTTAGTTTACCGATCACGATTTCTTCTTCCGAA